TTTTGACTTAGAGGAGAAGTGGGGGAGCTGCATCGTTCAAATGGAAATTCAACTTCAGCTTGCTGAGCGGGGGGCTGCTTCAGGGACATGGATGTCCTCACGTGGTTCGTTGCCTCCCCTGCCCTTGCAGCGGGTCACCGCTTCCGCCCAGCAGCCTTGTTTTGACAGAGCTGTTTCGTGGTGTCAGCACAGGGCGCCTTTGGGGAGCCGCCGCTGCTGCAGCCGGGGATTTCTGAAGCAGCTATTGTCGGCGGAGGGGCCGCTGGGCCGCGGCCAGGCGCGAGGCACCGCATCCCTGCGGCCTTGAGCGGGCCGCCTCGCTCCGTGCAGCTGCAAAAGCTTTGGGCTCCTGCCTGGCACTTGCAGAAATCGTTGTGGAATTTGCTGATTCTGCCAGACGCGAGCTAAACACTTGTTCCCAAGTGGTGTGTCCCATCAGTACAGCTGTTGGTTATGAAAAACATGCGAGGGCTTTCATCCTTAATAATAAAGCTTTGTTGAAGTATTGCAAGCTCGAAATATTCTGAGTAATACTATCAAATAGTACCTCCTTGCTTAGCCTATAGGGAGCTTTATTCCCCCATGCTTCAGTTAAAATGTTCATTTATTGTCGTCACTTATGTCAGAGGTGGGGAGGGAGGGAGGGAGGCAGGCTAAATTTTCCCTCGGTACTGTCAGTAAGGATTAACTGACGTTGTTGGGCAGTGCTTTCAAAATATTGTGGCCTATTTACACAACAAAACTGATCAGAACAAAATACACAGTTCTGGTCAGCGGCTGAATGCTGTGTTGTGGCAGCTATATTTGGCAGTGATTTTCTCATCGTTTTTCCAATGTAGACAAAACCTGAACGCTACAGAAATCTTAAGCATTACAAGCAGATAATACCCTTACTGAATAGCTTGATTCTCCTGTTGCCTTTTGGGGAAAGGGGACAGTTTGGCCGTAATTCAGTTGGAACAAATGCTTATGAAGCAACTGACAAAAAAGTGTATGAGTAGATTTATCACTTTGCCATGCAGGGTAATAAATAATTACATCATTTCCAGCAAGCCGTCGTATATACCTGTGAGATGGTGGATCTCTCTCCAAGGTGTAATCTCTGCAAAGAAGCATTAAATAGGGAATTGTGACAAACTGTAAGAATTGTTGGTTTCCTGCTTGGGTTTTATTTTTTTATTTACTAACAATCATAGTGGATACTTGCAATTACCTCCTCATTTTTATGTGGTCTCCCTAAGGAATGAATCGAGAGAAATGTTTCATTTTAGCTGTTTGGACAACCATTCCATATTTCCTGCGTAACAGGTTTTTTGTAGTTTGGAGGATAAAATTGCCTGACATTCAAGATAGGAAATACCTCTTTCTATCTTGCATCTTCAACTCAGATTCTGAGAATACTAAAATGAAGCCTTTTTAAACTTGTCTTTTTTTCCCAATTCCATTTAGTGATAGTCCCAATGCTGTCCATGAGGTGGAAAAGTGGTTACCACGACTGCACTCTGTTGTCATAGGACCTGGCTTAGGTAGAGATGAAGTTCTACTTGAGAACGCTAAGGTAATGTGTATATTGATACTTTATTCTGTGTCTTTATGTTGAATTTTATTAAATTTCCTATCTTTTACATGATTACACAAATGGTTTTGATAGGGTTACTAAATAACAAATTTAATAAAATATTGTTGACTGAAAATTACAGCTGTTAGTCATGGTCTTCATTATTAAACTGTAAGCATCACTCTGAATTTTAGGCACCCATATGGTTGTTTTGATTTGCTTTTGTTTTGATTGTGAAAGTTGCCAATTAAGAAATAGATGTTGGCATCTCTAGATGAAGGGCTCTGTGTTTTTTTAGGTGCAAAGCACCTGTACTGTAAGAACATAAATATGAATTTGAGTTCCTAATTTTCAGAACCGTATTTGACAGCTTGTATCAGGAGAGGTACCAAAGAGCAGGGATTGTGTCCCCTTGCAATACGAAATAATACTCTTAATTATAAAACGTTGCAGATTTGTATTCTGGATAGAGAGGTAATCCTATTTTCTGTCAAGCCTTAGCGAAGAGCTGCAAACAGGCGCTTAGTTCTGTACTCTAAATAATATGTACTTACACCATCTTCCAGATGATGTCTTGTATTACTGTCAACACATCTTTGCACGTTCAAAGTATATCTTTCAGTCTAATGTCAATCTAATTTTGTACAATTTTAATTTTTTTTTGCCTGAGAAGTATTACTGAATTAATCAGTGATACTAACAAGTGGAATTAATATAATTTACAGAAATGTTGACAGTTACACAGTGAAACTGCAAAACGGGGGAGGCAAGAGACTGGAGACAACACTAGTCCAAGTAGTTTAGAATACCTTGAGAGCTATGGAGGGTGGCTTTGCTAGGCTTTTGTTAGAGAAAGTTGCTATTGGAACTCTTCACTTCTTTAATTCTCCTTCTGCTTCCAAAAAATGTTTGTTTTATAATACAGAGGTGCAAAACTAATGAAGAGCATGGATTCAGAAACAAAGAAAAAAGAAATTTATTACAGCTGATCAAAAAATCAAATTCAATTCTGAATGAAAAATTTCAACAGATTTTATTTATTTTTGACAACATTTTCCAGAATTATTCTTAAAGAAAAAAATTTTGGGAAATTATTTTTCTTTTTTTCTTGGTTTTTAAAAATTTTTTAAGTTTTTTTTTTTTTCCCCCCCAAAAGGAAAAGGACTTTAAACAAAAGAAAATAAGAATTCATTTAGAATATCTAAGCTATCTAACGTAAGCTTCTTTTATATCAGAATTCCATCTGGGTTTTATAAATACCTGTCAATGTGCTTATCTGTATTACAGAAGTATCTGGAAGATTCCTTGATTGTTTTTTTTTTTTCATCATTGCTAAAAATAATTTTGCTTTCTTAGTGAATTACAAGCATACTTTTACTTCAGCCTGGCTGTCCTGTGTGAGCTAGCTTAAAGTTAAAGAAACAAACCCAGCCAAGGAAGACAAGGCGTTTGGATGTTACTTCAGGCTAAAATCTCAGGCCACATTCATATGAGCTGTGGATCTGACCTTATTAATTTCAAGTCACGTTAAAGCTCAAGTTCTTTGTCTTCACTGTAATTATGTAACTGTTCGTTAGTTACCCAGTGTTGTTTTTTTAATCCAACAACCATAATCTTCTAAATTCTTTTGTTCAGCCAAAAGCTTTAATAAGTGCATGTAATTGGGCACAAGTGAACCCTGGTTGCCTGCTTGAGGAAGACTGGTGATTTTCTGTGCTGAGGAAAGGCACAGTCTCCCTCTTGCTTCAACAGTGAATTTTAAGCTTTGTATCACTCTTCACCTTCAAGAAAAAAAGCAAGTGATGATAGCATTGCTATTTTAAACTTTTATAGGAGGCTGGCTTGGTATATAATTTTCTGTTTTCCCTTTAAGCTAACCTCAGCATGCTGTCATATGAATACAGGGCTGAGATGTAGATTAGTGTCTGCTGTCTGGTCAGGGTTTTGTATCAGAGTGGCAGTGAGGATGGGAGAGAGCTTCCCCTTTTCCTCATCCTGCCCCATTGAAGTGCTGAGGCGTAGTGGTCTGTCACCTCTGTGATGCTGTTCTGATGTCGGTTCTTGTCAGTATTGTGCCAGCACATTGCCAACAATTGTGCTTGTCCAAACAGTCACGTGTTTAGGCTGCTTCTCTCTTCTGAGCATTGAGAAACTAAGATACTAATGCAGTAACCTGCAATTTTGGTATACGGCCCATGGACACTGTTTTATTGTGGAATAGCTTGAGTACTTGTTGACCAGATGGTGCATCTTCTCTCTCCAGACCAGAGAATGCTTTGCTTCCTCAGCATCTTCACTATATCACCTGCCTCCCTCATGCTTAATGCCTGCAGTGTATGCATTGTGGCGTTTCAGGTCCTTTTAACAGTCTTATGGAAAAGTAGCACCTTGTGATCAGTTTCCTTTGATTTTTTTTTTTTTTCCTCTTCTTCTTGAGAGTGTGGTGATACTCTTTGAATACATATTTACTGGCTTCCTGTGGTTGTCTGGTTTTGGTTGTATACAAGTCCTGTTACAAGAAGCCACTCTACAAGTTATGTACCTCTCTCATAATGCCACTTGTGTGAGTCTGTGCCAAAACCATCAGATGCTGTTCCTCAGTCGCCTGGGTGAGGGCTGATGCTCTGTCAGAGCTTTTTAGCCATGGGTTTGCAGGACCGGGAGCTGCAGCTTCAGAAAAATCTAAAGAAAGCATTTGTTGTGTCCTAGTAGCTGTGCAGCTGGATCCCATGTAGATGTGGCAATCCTAGTCTTGGCCTAGTTAGACCCTCCAACTCCGGAGCAAATAAGCAGTCCAAGCTATTTCTCTTCAACAGAAAGGAACAAAAACATGTTTCTGCTCCACTTCTCAGCTCTGGAGTGAGCAGATTGAAGCATCTCTGCTCCCCATTCTACTTCAAACTTCTGAAATGCTGTTACCACATCTGGTGTGGAACGTGGCAGCTTCCTTGTAGGCAACATCAGGCCATCTGTTTTTCTGTTTCAGTGTCTGTGATTGATTCTGGCCAGAGACGACAGTACCGTTACCTCCCTGAGTTCACCTCAGTTGGTATGCTGCTGGTGGTGGTATAGACTGTTGAGAAAGAGTTTAGCTGCCACGTGGAAGCAAGACCAAGGTCCCTACGACTGTCCTCTGTCAGTACTTAGAAGCAGCATATTTCCAAAGCTATTGGATGTTCTCTTTCTTTCACACAGCAGCAATATGATGTCCTTATCATATCTATCCACCACAGCATTCTTTGTTCAGCTGTTCCAGGAATGTTTGCACTTCTGGTTCTTACTCTGATCTGATTTTTCTTGTAGCCTGAAGCTAGGAAGAATTCCTGCGTGTACCATCAAGAGCTGTTCCTCAGGTTTGTGAGAGAACCAAGTTGCTCTCCTGCAGGGTGATGAGTGCAGCTCGCGAGAGGACTTTGGAAAGAGCATTATATTCCTTGCATAGCCCTTTGGGAGAGGTGATGCTGCTGCCTAATGCTCCAGGATGTTCTGCATTCTGCTGCTGCCCAGCAGTTAGGCAGTTATGGGCTTAGCTGTGTCCTGTATCAGTTTCCAGCCTCTTGTCACCTCCTTTCTTCTCCTACTCCTCCTGGCATGAATGTGATGTTCCTGTCAAATTTTCTACTTCTGAGTTTGGTGAATCTTTATTGGGTACGTTACTGGCTTTGTGATCAAATAGACTGATACAGAATTATTGGTGGAATAGTAGTTACTATTGGGATCAGGTAGAGAAAAGCATTCATCCTTATGAAAAGCCCTATCCTTAACTGAAGTAAGACTTTGACGTTGGAATCGTCACTGCATTCCTTGCCTCTCTCCCTGAAGTGGTAGCACCAAATGCTGGACCCTGCCACTCCAGTCTTGCCATGTTTTGTCTTGCAGCAGCAAAGTTAGATTAGTGTTTTCAGCAGAGCATGCTTGCTTCCCTCCTCTAAGAGGGGTAATGATTAATAGCAAGAATGGCTCTGTGCAACTCAGATTACATGGTAAAATCGACTCTTGCTCAATTCTCGGTCTTTGTTTTAGCTCCAAGAAAATGTCCTGAATACCAGCCTGGGTTCTTCCTTTTTGTTTGGCTGAGGCCCTGCCTAGCTGCCATTTCTGCCCATTGCTGTTGCTGTTTCTTTCCCCCCAACCCCCTCACCCTGCAATGCTACCCTCAGCCAGTCATTTGCCCTTAAAGATCTCTGCGATGCATTGGGATATAAATTTCAGAAATCTCATTTTCCACCCCTAGTGACATCATCTTAAGGTTGTGTGGAAATGCCTTGGCTGTAGTTAACATCTAGCAAAGGATGGGAGAGGTTTGGGCCATTGTCATGGATCGCCTCCATCGAGTGTGCCCAGGGAGAGACCATTTGAAGTTTCCTCTTTCAGATGGATTCTCAGTTCCACCTCAACTGAGGTATCAGCCTTTTTGTGTTTGTGTTTGGTTAGTTGGATTAATTGGACTGATTTCCCCTCTTCAAGCCTCATGCCTTCAGGATTTAGGCAACACTTCACAGCTTTAATAAATTGTGAGAATGGGACCAGGTGCTTCAGTACACTATCTGCACTAATTCTTGCAAGCTTAAAAGGACTACAGAATACAGAGCCACCTTTTGTTGTCATAGCAGTCCGTTAAAGCTAAATCTGCCCTTATGGGCTTTGGGAAGCATTTTCCTCTTGCTACTTGATCAGCTCCCCAGGTTCTGTTTGTACCAAGCGTAAGACACCTGAGAAGCATCCCAGGCTAATGCTGCAGTTAATAGGTTAGTAGTATTGTCTGTGGTACCTACAACCATGTATGAATATGAACAGTAGGATGTGTTATTCTTTGGAATCACTGCTCACGTCGACTCAAGTTAGCAGAAAAATTATTTACCAGAATCTTAATTCTTCAATATGTGTCACATGTGCATTTGCTTCCTGCCCTGTTTATGTCCTCTGGAGATTCCTGCAGTGGGGATTCGGAAGTTCATAGGGAACTGAAGTAGCAGCTAGGACACGCCACTTTCTGTTCTCAGCCTTCAGTTAGGAGGAGGTGAGGTGGATGAGATCTTGTGCCTGTGATACTGCGGAGGCGAAAGCAGAGGGCACGTACGTGCACCCGCTGTGAGAATGTGTGTCCCTCTGCAGAGGGACCTGGACAGGCT